ATATATATATATATATTTAGGCCTGTCACTCCTTGTTTCGCCTTGCATGAGGGAACACTGACTTCCTGTCTCTGTTGCTGAGTGATGCACAGGAAGGTTTGTTGTCAGCAATTTGTCTTTCTGCATTATTGCACATGGATCTGTTCTTCTGTGCCTTGCAGGTGCCAGTATTCAGACCCATGGATCTCATGGTGGAAGCCAGTCCACGAAGGATATTTGCCAATGCCCACACGTACCACATCAACTCTATCTCCATCAATAGTGATTATGAAACGTACCTGTCTGCAGATGACCTGCGGATTAATTTGTGGCACCTAGAAATTACAGACAGAAGTTTTAGTATCCTTTTTTCTTCTTCTCCCCCCCCCCCAAAAAAAAGACATGTTAAGGTTCAGCATAACTGAATGGTTCCCTGTTTTAGCGTTGTCCAATGAATGACAGATGTTTGTTGCTTATTGACTGTTGAAGAGGTAATTGGAGCAAGATGAGAGTTAGTGAAATAAAGCTACATTTTCTATGTCCCAAAGTTCATTTTGGCAAATTGTGTATTATGGAAAGACACAAAACTGGCAAAAGAGTTTGGGGAAGAGGTTGTTATTTTGAGACACCAAAGGACGGAGACAGGAAGAATAACCTTGGTCATGTGATCTTGTTCTGTATCTGTACCATCTGTGACACCCCTTTCTCACTCACACAGAGTGCCTACCACCCTCTCTCAGGTTATGAGTCACACGTTGGTCAGGGTGCCACATTTGCAACCCTTCTTGTGTCTTTTAAAATTTAGAGAGCCATGACCATTTCACACTTCATGTCCTCTCTCTGAATTCCAGAGAGTAGCCCAGCCCCCTTTATTAATCAGCCCTCATTCACACAGAGATAATTGGGGTTGGGCTTCAAACACTGTTTCATTCACACGCTGCCACCGTTTATCCATATCCTGTAATACATGTACAGGCCAAGATATTAAATTGTATGTGTGCTTCCATCACCTTAGACATGCAGCCTAGGGTTAAACAAAACGTTAGTTTTATTTATGATATTAACATAAACAGTGTGTCAACTAAGGTAAAAGTAACAACATGTCCCTTTGAGCTTTTGAACAGAGGTCCTGTTCCTACAACTGGGATCCTTTAGGTACAAACTGACTGTTTTCAACCTGCTCTAAAGCTGCTCTTCTGCACAGTTGACTCAGTCAGACATCCTTCTTTTCCTCCCTAAAACCCTTAGCTGCTAACTCCGAAAAGCCATTTTAACTGTCGTTTTCCCACTCTCCCTCTCTTAACATTCCATCAGCTCTCATTGGTTTCTCTTAGAGAGAGGTGGAACCTACTCTGTCTGTTACACCATCCAACTCATTATTCTTAACAAATCAACACATCTTGGCTGCCTGTATTTTTATTTTGTATTCTTATCTAGATATTTATAGCCACTGCTCTCTTCATTGGGGACCCAAAGCAGCTTATAACCCCTCCCCCCCATCTTCCCAACACTGTTCTCCTTTCTTCCATTTTATCCTCACAAGGACAACTCAGTAGAGTAGGTGAGTTTGAGAGTCACTGAACCAAAGTCACCAACCAAGCTTCCATGGCAGAGTAGGGATTTGAACCAGGGTCTTCCAGATCCTGCTCCAACATTACATGACCGGAGGGAGGAAAAGCTTGAATTTGCAGACAACATGTACACTTCTGAAAAGGTACGACCTCCAGAGTGGCTAAAGGAGAGACCAGTCTTCACAAAAATTCTTATTCAGAATTTTGTAGGACAAAAGATTTCTGAGCCACTGAAGCTGCATCCAGTGTGCTACTTCCAGGGCCAAATACAGAATCACTGCTAGTGCATAGCAGTGGCAGGAGCTAGCAAAAGTCTTAAATGGAAATGGTAAACCTGAAGGCTGGGGCTGTTTCACCTCTGGGTGATAAACAACATGGAGGAGGAATAGCAGTGTTCCTGTCACACTCTGTGTGAAGGCAGCTTCTCCCAACCCCTGGCCAATCAAATGCCACAGCACTAAAGAATCCACTTCTGAAATGGCTGAGCAGCTGAAGATTAGCCGAGTCTAGTCTTGCCTGCAGTGTTCGCCTCCAAAATTCCATCTTCCTATTAATGGTGTTGATGTAATTAATGTTATCAGCATTAACATTATTGTTATTAATGTTATTAATATATTATTAATGTTACTAACGTGGTTAATCTTGTTAATCTTGAATTATGGAATTAGTGAATTGGTGCCTCGTAAGTCTTTGATGTTGGATTTGTAATTGGTTATTTGTGTTGTATTTTATATTTTGTATTGTGAATGTTGAAATGTTGAAAATGTTTTCTTAGTTTGTATATTGAAAGGTTTTTAAAATAAAAATCTCTGTTTTCCTAAAAAAATCTCCATTTCCCAAAATCCCGTCTTCCTCCTTAAGCTGTAAGAGTTATTCCCTGTTCAAAAGGATCCCATGAAACCTGATGAAAATAGAGTCCTTAACCTCAAAAATCTTTAGATATTGTAGATATTAAGCCTGCCAACATGGAAGAATTAACTGAGGTCATAACAGCAGCAGAATTCCATCCAAACAGCTGCAACACGTTCGTATACAGCAGCAGTAAAGGAACAATCCGTCTGTGTGACATGCGGGCATCGGCACTCTGCGATAGGCATTCGAAACGTGAGTAGTTGTTACAATCCTGATGAACCCATTTTTGTTTGCTAGGGCAGAACAATGGTAATGCAAGAAGAGGATGGAGCACTTTTTAATCCCCCCCCCCCCCAAAAAAAAAGAACACTGTAACCCTGCAAAAAAATAGCTTGGAGTTGTGAATAGACTTGTCTGTTTCACTCACTGTCATGCAACATGGCAGGATAGCACCTGGTCTGCTCCTGTTCAAGTTTTGCTGATTGTACTACAGTGGACCTCTGTAATGCAGATCTGTAGTGTTATATATTGCCTGGATTGGGCTTCGAAGTAATATGCATCAATGGCCAATTAAGGCATTACTCATGCTGAGCTGAATGGGTGCATGAAAAACTTTCCATGCTAGGACTGTGTGTGTCCTAGGATTCTGTGACTGAAAAACAAGTGTGGGACTTGCTACTGTGTTAGAACTCTGCTGCCTGTTTAGATTTCAACTTCCATGACTTTTAAAAAAAAGTTTTTAAATTTCTTGTCCTTTACTCATCACAAAAAATGTGTTGATGCATTTGTTTTTTTAAAGTCATTTTACTCATCTCAGAAAGCCCATATCATCTTGTACCCAGGCTCACTTAATCCTGGAAGCTGTCAACAGGTATAGCCACTGCTCTCTTGGATTGCTTTAAGAAATGTTTATTGGGTACAAAATATTATGGACTTCTCCATAGTCACTTTGTAGCTTTTAAAAATGTGCATGAGGTTATTTACTCTGAATAAATACAAATAGCAAATTGGCATAATTGTCTCATACTTGCAGTTTTTGAAGAACCCGAAGACCCCAGCAACCGGTCATTTTTCTCTGAAATAATCTCCTCCATATCAGATGTCAAATTCAGCCATAGTGGCCGATATATGATGACTAGGGACTATCTGTCTGTGAAAATCTGGGATTTAAATATGGAAAACAGACCTGTGGAAACGTATCAGGTATGCAGAGAAAATGCTCATCCATACACTCCACCCCCTTTTGAGAGTAGCGCTGTAAGCACAGATGTGCCCCTATTTAATAAACTAAGGTATGTTCAGAGTCACTTTTTGGGTTTTGATGTGATAATGGAACTCATTTATGTACACTAAGAAAGATCAAATACATATTTTGCAGAACAGCTCATGACTGTCTTCAACATTATGCAGCCAAGTATGCAGTTAGATTCTGCTTAGTTGGAATTGAAAGAACTTCCTATCAAAGCCTCCTGTGCCCTCCCCAAAAAAGCTGGTCCTGAATTTTAAGGGACTCTGCATAGCAGCATTTTGGTATGGTTTAATGAAGAAGATAAGATATTGGATACCCAAAGGAGTCTCAGAGCGGCTTACAAACTCCTTTCCCCTCCCCTCCCCTCAACAGATACCTTGTGAGGTAGGTGGGGCTGAGAGAACTCTGACAGAAACTGCTCTTTTTCAAGAACAGCTGTGCCAGAACTATGGCTTGCCCAAGGTCATCCAGCAGGTGCAAGTGGAGGAGTGGGGAATCAAACCCGGTTCTCCCAGATTAGAGTCCGCGCACTTAACCACTACACCAAACGTAATGAGCAACAAATGGAAGGGAAAATGGAAGAATCAGGTGTCACCCTTTGGAATGAACTGATTTATTGTAGCATAGGTTTCTGTGGACCCAAACCCACTGCATCAGATGCATGCAGTATTATTATCCTTAAGTTAGCAAACATTAGAATGGTAAACAGTAGAAAATACAAGAGGTGCTCTCTGCAAAACTTGAAGTGCATTCAATATCAGCACAGCGACCATTTACAACAGCAGTAATAACACCATTTTCCCTAGCTTTTCTGTGTGAATTTTCCAAATGGTTGTGGGAAGGGAGAGAAAGAACCCTGGCCTTGATTGAGTCCTAAAAGGAAGCAAACTGTGGCAAATGGGTGTGGGGAGCAGTATGTTCCTGTGCACAAAGGTGTGACTACAGTACATGCATGAGGTCCTTCAGATTTCAGCCTTTATTCAGCAGTAATAAGTTTCACTCATTCCAATGGAATTTGTTTCCTCATGAGCATGCTTAGGACTGTAGTCCTACAGCCTCCACTGTAGCATAATTATCTGGGAGATTCCCAGTGCAGGAAGAGGGGCCCTTTTGGTCCTTGCAGTGGGCTTTTGAAAATCTCTGAGCCAGTGTTTGCCAGTAGATGGTTTTGTTTCTGTTTTTTCCCCCCCTTCCCCTCTACAGGAGGCATAGAGGTGCTGTGCCCTCTTACAACACACAAACGTTCTGCTTCCCTTGCCATAAGAGAGAAGCAGGTTAAACAAGCATTGGAAACTGAAATCTGGCCAGGATCTGCCATGCAACTAATCCAAAAGGGCTTTGGGTTGTACATGGAAGTACAGCCTCCAATGACACATAGGAAACTATTTGTAATTGGGAAGTGGTTGAGGCTAGTGTTCAAGAACCCATTCAGTTTTATACTCTCAATGAATGGGTATGGTAAACTTGAGCGACAGTGAGATTTAGATCGTTATACCCTGCTTTTTTCTCCAGTGGGGGACCCAAAGAGGCTCCCAATATTATTCTCTCCTCCTCCATTTTATCCTGATAAGAACAATCCTGTAGGCTTGGCTAATGGTGAATGACTGGCCCAAGGTCACCTACAGTGAGTTTCATGGTGGCAACAGGGGGATTCGAAATGGGTCTCCCAGTTCCCACTGCCACTCTTAACGACTGCTTCATTCCCGTCCCCCCACCCCAAACCAATGACTTCCAAAAAACTTCATCATAATAATAGCATTTATGTAGCACTTTCAGTGTCCAGCACACTTACGATACATTACCAATAGAGTGCTGGGAGGTGGACCTATATTATCCACATCATGTGCATGAGAGCTGAGGCTGAGAGAGAATCACTTGGTCTAAAGCCACCTGGTGAGTTTGTGAGACAGGTTCCATTTGAATCAGAGAATGACTAGACCATAGCTCATTTTCAAAACCAGAGGTCTGCATCAGCTTGTGTGGCTGAACAAGGCTTTGAACCTGGAATTTCCCAACCCAGTGTTATGCATCTTGGAACAAAAGTGTGTGTGGTCTGGTGGATTTCCTTTATTCAGGACTCAAGGAATTATTCTGTTGAGTTGCTATATTGGCCTGTATTTACTTTCCATACTCAGTGGTGTCCTTCACTCCTCCCCCCCCCCCGACTGCTTGCAGGTACACGAATACCTCAGAAGTAAACTTTGTTCGCTATATGAAAATGACTGCATTTTTGACAAATTTGAGTGCTGTTGGAATGGGTCGGACAGGTAAGTCCAACTTAAGAGTCTGGTTGGTGGTTGAAAGGGTCCTTTTTTTGATCACGTAACCTAGAAGCTCACTGAGGCTGAACGGCTTTCTGCTCTTTGCTTTTTAGACCTAAAACAAGTACGGGAGAAGGTTTCTTTAGGGGGTGGAGAAGGGGCAGCATAGACTTTGGGTGCAAGATAACCTCTTGTTGACTTTCACCTTGGTTCAAGCAGCCCACTGTGTTCGCTTTCTTGGACAAGAGACACAGAGAAGGAAGAAGATGTATCTGTACACATGGCAGTTTTCAGGGTCCATACATATATATTATTGATTATTTATTGTGCTGGTAGAACACTGTCCCGGTGGGGGGAATGGTACCCCACAGGAACAGCTTAAGGGTAGAGTTGGAGATCTGGAGCTGCAAAAGGGATTTAACATGAATCAGTTCCCCTTCCATTAGCAGCAACTTTCTGCATGATTCAAGCCATAGTTCCCATAGTGTAGCAGTGTCCTTGAAAAGGCTGAATATTTTACTAATAAAAGTGTTATTTAAAAAAAAATGAAAACCACATAAAATAGCTAAGTTTTAACATTGATGTGATACAAAATATTTTTAAAATGCAGATGACTCTTTGGAAAATTAAATGTGACACACTGCTGGGGTTTAAATGGTAGACCTGTTTTTAGCCTCTAGTAAATAGCAATAGTACTCAGCCAAGTGGGATGATGCCCTGAAGGAGGGGTGGGGTGGGGAAAGCTTAATGTAGCAAATGCATTCAGTGACGCTGAGCATCTTTTGTTTTATTCTCCTTTTTTCTCCTTTTTTAAAAAGTGTTGTCATGACAGGGTCCTATAACAATTTCTTCAGAATGTTCGATAGGAACACCAAGCGAGATATCACTTTAGAAGCATCACGGGAAAACAACAAGCCCCGCACCGTTTTGAAGCCCCGGAAAGTCTGCGCAAGCGGCAAACGGAAGAAGGATGAGATTAGTGTTGACAGTCTAGATTTCAACAAGAAGATTCTACACACAGCCTGGCATCCTAAGGAAAACATCATTGCTGTTGCCACTACAAACAACTTGTATATATTTCAAGACAAAGTGAATTAGGGCTAGCATTCCTAGCAGAGGAGTCCACTTCCTGCATAGTTCAGATAGATGAATCTAGCATATGTAACTGTTAAACAATAGAGGGATGAAAATGGAGAGCGAGAGAGAAACAGAAGTCCATTGTGGTGAACCTTTTTTCCAGTGTTTAAAAAAACAAATGTGCCATATTGACAACACACTTTTATAGATAGCTACATGGGTGGTCTCTGTCTGCTGGGGAGTTCTCCATGTCTGCTAGCCATTCTGGTGAGGGCAGGGCACTTTTTAATGACTCCTTCCACCATCTTGCCTAATGGACTAGAGTTTGACTGTCTCAACACTTGGTTCCTCCAGTTTTTATGCCTTCCATTGTGATGATGTCAACCACAGGGGGAGAGAAAAGCCTTCAAGTCATGCTGTGGGATTTAATTGTGTAACCTCATTACTGTATTTTTTGTGGCCCCATTTTATTATTAAATAACAGCTCATTCTTGCTGTGGCTTGTAGCGTTCCTCCTCCCCCTCCCATACTCCTCCCCCTTCCTTTTAAACCCCATTCCTAAACCCCCCCAGCCCTGGTGGTGGTGTATAGAGAAAAGAAAAGCACATGAAATGGGTCAGTGGTAAAGGGGGACTGCGTTGCAAAGAGCAAAATGTTTTAATAAACCGTTTGACTGTAATCACTCCTTGCCATGTCTGGCATTAAAAAATGAGAAACTCTAGGGGAGAAGAAAAATCTACTGAATAAAAGTGACAAATAATGGTGAATCTGTTTTTTTTTTCTTTTTAATCTACCTCTTTATATAAATTCTCATTTTTTAAATTTTAAATGCATGATGATAAAATGTTTTGGCAATGGTTTTAACCAGTATTATTTTTCATAAAGGAGAAGGGAAGGTTTTTTCATTCCTATGTGAAAACTCTAAAATGTCACTTTAGTATTTATTAAGTGTTGGTTGAAAAGCTCTAAAGGATGTTTTTGGATTCTGTTATAATATTGAGCAGTATTTCATGCCATCTCAATAATCAACCTTCCTTTCTTCTATTTTCCCCCTCCCATCTGTTAACATTCAGAATAGGGGTGAATTTGTAGACTACAAATAAGGTTTTATGGGACTAACCATTTTCTTTTGTTTAACCCCTTTGTTCTAATTTCATTTAATGCCTTGTTTAGGATACAGACTCTCTCATATGCATTTTGTTCTTTTTAAAATGTCATTGAAATTTCTTGTTGTTAAACAGTATGTCATATAAAATTTAATATAAAATGATTTAAATAGATAAAAATCTACTCTGCGTTCTGAGTGCCCCTATATATATTTTTTGTATTTTTGTTGCTACCGGTAACTTGAATGGAAATGTAGTTTTACCTTTTTATGAGTGTTCCTTTAATTCGGCTTTTCAAACCTCTTGCCATTAAAGATGAAATTAAAGTCATGGTGATCAGAAAATGCTTCAGGAACAAAAACCACATGAGATTTTGGTAGTGGTCTGTTAGGTGTACCAACTCTTAAAGTATAGGTGCCATATTTCACATTGTACTCTTCATTAAGGCCCACTTGCTGCATTTTGGCTGCATTCAGACATTATGATAAACTTTGATTTGATTGAATCCTGGTTAATTGTAACACGCAAATGCATCCCATCTGTCAAACAGGTTTGTTTGGAACAAAGCAGATTTCCAGCTAGGGTCTATAGCTGCTTATTCACATTTTCTACTAATCTTGTACTGGATCCGCCACCCTTTTCCCTGATAAAAAATGGAGGGAGGAAGCATCTTTGATCATGGGATCTCCATAGACAAAAACCATATGGGACTCAGACAGAAGTAGAAAAGGAAATTAAGAATGAGAGTAAAATGGCTAGCTGGATCCAACAATTTTGTTTGTTGTGAAGTCTGAATTCACAAATCACAGTGGGTTCAGTAGCTCTGCCCCTTGTGATTGTATGGCCACAAAGAAAGCAATATAGGGAGAATATGCTCCCTAGTGAGAGGTAGGAGAGCAGCAGCAGAAAGCAGACAGTGTGGTGATTGTTGGTGGGTTGCCACAAACTAGAATTTGTTGAGACGTCTGGAGGCAGCCTTTATAAGCGATGCAGTTTCTTCTTGGAATCCATACCATGTGACTGTCTGCATTTGTCTAAAGTGGTGTCAGTTTTTTAAGCCAAAGTTACTCTCTGACCTCCTCCAGTATGCAAATGATTTTCTGTTTATGGCATTTTCAGTTGAATATCTTCTATCTGCCTGACAGTGCCATTTTCCCCACTGTATATTACCCTGGATGTCTTGCCACAGAGATGGATGAAAAGTTTTATGAATACCAATAACCCACAACAATGTAACAAGGAAGGTTTTCTACATTTGACCGATGAAGGATGATTGCAAGGCCAAATGCAGATTGCATTGCCCTGACCATTTTTTAGGAATGATTTTGGCATGTTGGTCATGTTGTTACTGTTGCTGTCAAGTTACAGCTGACTTATGACAACCTTGTAGGGTTTTAAAGGCCAGAGATGTACAGAGGTGATTTGCCATTGCCTGCCTCCACATCAGAGCCCTAGTATTCATTGGTCTCCCATCCAAATACTAGCCAGGGCTGGCCCTGCTTAGCTTCTGAGATCCAACAAGATCAGGCTACTCTGGACTATCCAGGTCAGGGCGAGTTGGTCATAGCTGTAGCTTTTTGAGATGAATCTTGGAAATACCCTGTGCCAGTCTTTAGAAGCACAGAGGGCTCAGAATGGAGTTTTTCCAAAAAGGAGGCAGATCCAGATGGCTCTGCCCAGTTTCCAGAGAACAGAATAAACTATTAGCCCAGATAATGTGTTGGAAGGTACATGATGTAGCAATCTTGCCTGATAAGTTGGTCTGATAAGTGTTTGGATAGGAGATGTCCTAGGTGTGCTGTGTTTGCCATTTTGAATTCCATAATGGAAGAAATATGGGATAAAAATGTAATCACCTTCAGTGGCAAAAATCACTGCATTGCAACTACGTGTCTTCTTAATGCACGCTTCTCTGGGAGCAGGCTCCATTGGTGTGGACTCCAAGCAGGCATAGTCTAGAGCTGTAAAGCTGCCCCATTAAATCAGATCTTATTTGAAAGTCATTGACAAGCCAGGTAATGGTAATATTTTAGGCACACAGTGCAGCTGTTAAGTGATTTGTTCACCTGCAATTACTCTTGGGGATCTACTAATCTCCCTGCAGGTGAAAAGCAGATTGGTTGGTAAGAATGGTGGAGTTCTTTGCCTTGGTGCTGTCCTGGTTTTGACCCAATGCTGTAAGAGGAATAACTATAATGTACAAAATTTGTGTGGGTGTTGTGGGAGAATGTGAAAAGGCCTGGATAAACATCCATGTTGGCATTGAGCTGTGTTGATATAGCAATAAACATGCCAGATGTCTAGAAGCAGAAAATGGGCACACAGTGACTAAGGTCCTTATAAATATTTGTTTTTAACTAATGAAAGGAAGGTATGGCTTCCTCATCAGTACTGATCACTAAGCAGGTTGGTGCTTGTGACACTTGCATTAATAACAAGGGACTGATGAACAAATTTAGAGTCCAGTGGCACCTTTAAGACCAACAAAGGCTTATTCAAGGCATGAGCTTTCATGTGCATGCATACAAGTGTGCATGCACACAAAAGCGCATACCTTGAATAAACCTTTGTTGGTCTTAAAGGTGCCACTGGACTCTAAGGCTGCGGTCACACACACTAAATAATCTACTTTCCAACTGGATTTTGCCAGTTCAGACAGGAAAAATCCAGTTTGAAAGTGGATTATTTATTTATTTATTTACATGTGATTTCTATACCGATCATGACCCCTAATGGGTCTCAGAGCGGTTTACATTAGACTACATCTGTAGTGTGTGTGTGTGACCACAACCTAAATTTGTTCTACTGTTTCAAACATGAAGGGACTTTTCTAATCATAATTTGCACTTTTCTAATCATAAAATGTTGAGTGCTTGTGAAATCCCTTCTGCAATATTGCTGCCTTGAATGGAGATGTGATTTTGTACAAAGGGCAATCACACGTTCATGGTACTGTAAACTGATCAGATGGAAATTACTTGGATTATTGGCCCTACTGCCAATTTGATCCTTAAAATTTGCAAACCAAGATAGCATAATCTGGTGCAGCTGTTCTAATTAGACATGTGTTCTGTTGTGTGATTGCTTTTTCACTTGAATGCACACTGGTTCTCCTTTTCCATTGTGTACATATTTGTCATATTACTTGATGTTCACCCTTTCTGATTACATTGGCAGGTATTACCAGATGCTGAGTTCTATCCCACTATGGCTGTATTTTGCCTTTTGAAGGGCAGTGCTTCATGTGCCCTAATCAACTCCCATTAAGGTAGAATAAGGAAATACTACCCCAGTGGATTCTCTGTTGACTTGATGATCGTGTCCCAACAAACATCACCATGTTATGCATAATTAGTGCCTAAATAGAAATAAACATGGCATCATGCATTTAGAAGTAAAACCTCATAAAAATTAACGTTTGCGGGAGATTAATGGAAAAACAAGCTATTACAGCAGAATCGTATTGTTCCGGCTATCGTATATAGTCAAAAAAAGGAAATCCTGTAACCTAGGAAACGCTATAACTGACCATGCAGCCCCTGGGACAAATCTTCCCCCTCCCCCCCCAAAAAAAAACTTTCGGCGCGTGCGCAATAGTGCCGCAAGGATGCTCGCCGGCGCACGCTCCGTTTGTTGGTTAGCGCGTGCGCAGTACGCATTGGCCACCTCAGCTCTCTGGGTGTGTGCGGGAGACGGTGGAACGTTAGACAGACATGCGCTTTTGTCGCCAAGGAGGTCGCTCCCCCTCCCTCCTTTCCCGCGGACGTGAGGAGCGTCAGGGAGAAAAAAGAAGCCGAGGCAGTTAAGGGGCGGTGTTTGCGCACCGGCGCGTGGGCGTGCCCAGTGAGGCGCGTGCGTACTGGAGGCTAAGGGGCGGGGCGGCAAGGGGGCGGGGTCGCTGGCTGTGGCTCTTCGCGCACATAGCTAGGCTTCGTCTTGTTTTTGTTGTTGTTATCCTCAGTGCTGCTGCCTCGGACGAGGGAACTCTTCGCTTGCGACAAGGCGCTTCCCCCCCGCCCCTCCTGTCGCTATGTCCTCCCCTCAGGACTCGCCTCACCACAACAATAACAACAACCTGCCACCTGAGGGAACGCCTACCGACCCGGGCCTTAACAGTGAGTGGGGCTTTCTTTCCTTTTCCCCCCTCTTGTCCTTCTTTTCCTGTTCTTTTCTCTTCAGTGGTGGTTACACTGTAAGAGTGAATGGGCCAAAACCGTATTCAGAGTTCGTTTCCCGTCAAACGGCAGCGAAGGTACCCCTCCCCCTCTGTTGCCCGCTTGATGGGGATTGGTTTGCAGCTGGGCCGCGCGAGATGCTATTGGCCAATGGGCGGTAGGGGGCTGACTTGGTTTGCATTGCGGGGGGGGGGGGAATAGAATGTCGGTGGCTGGGGCCGTTTCCGGAGGGGCGGGGGAATGGTTAAATCGCTTTCTGTGCCCGTTTTCTGTTCTAAACAAAATGGACTTAAGCGCGAGTGGTTAAATCCGTAATAGGGAGGGCGACAAGATAACGATGGGACCTATAGCTGGGGGGGGGGGGGGTAATAGCGATTTGAGATTAGAGTTTGGACCTAGGAGTCTGCTTAAATCAAAAGATGGAAGTGTTGTATGATAGTGGTCGGATAGTAAATGGGAATGAGAGTCCTTTGAAAAGAAGGAAAGTGGTTGGATATTCAGGAATTAAAGGCAGAAGTGGAGTGGGAGACGGGTGTGTTGGGGATAATAGAATGGGGTTTTGGAAAAGAAGGGGAAATTGAGTGGTCTGAAGGTTTTTGTATGGAATACAAGGTATTGGTGTATAGGGCTGCATTCCTAAGCATGCTTGAGAATATGGCTCGTTAAAATTAAACTTGGTTAGGGTTGGGCTTCTAAAAGTTAGAGCAGGATTAAAGATCTGATAAATAACGAAAAGTACTTTAGGCAGGGAAGTTAGACTGAATGGAATGAGATAAAAGTGAATAACTTGTTTTGAGAAGAGGAGGTGTTCCATTGCTTGCTGCTTCTAATAGCAAGGGTAGAGCTACAGCTGGGATGCTTGGAAGGAGTGACAGTGTTTGAGAGTTTATCCAGTGGCTGAGCAATATTACTGACGTGTACTGTTTTCTTTTGTATTGGGGTCTGTCAGCTGGTCCAGTACAGCCTTTTGTTTCCTGGATCAGGTTGGAGGGGGATCCAGATAGCTCTAGTTTGGATTTTGTAACTGAAATGATTTAGCCATCTCACACATTTAACTAGTTAGTATGTGTGTTGTTGTGCTTGAAAGAAACGTAATGCACATTCTTTCCCACCCTGTTTAGCCACCACCTGATGCAATGAGACAAATAGTATGGAAGCTGTTGCTCAAAATTTTTACCCATAGAATAGGGCCACTAATACTGGGATTATTTCACAGTAAAGCATTTGAAGACTGCTGTGTTGCGTTCCTTGAGACTATAGGCTAAATCAGTTACTGCATTCTCGTAGCTTGAGGAAAAATTCTGTTTAACTTGAAATTGCATACTGCAATTTGAACATTAGTTGGTTTACAAGATTGCAAAAATGCTCATGAAATTCATCAGTGTATTAATATCTTAAATTATATGCCTACTGTTTGTGTCAGTTGTTTAATTTTGTTGTGGTTTACCACAAAGGATTTAAACAACATTCTTGGTTTCCAAAGGTTCCATATTGCAGAAATCCTGTGTAGGGCTGCTGTGGAAGTAATGGGATTAGAATATTTGAAATCTTTTTGCGGTATAAACCATAATGAAGGTTATTTTGTATTTGTTGAAATAATTAGATTTTACTACACCAGCCTTGTGTATAGTTCCTAAACACATGAATAAAATCCTCATGACGGAGAACTCCAATACTAAAGGGTTATATAAATAACTAAGTAGTCATAAGATTGTAGGAGTTCTTTACACACACAGTACTAGTTTGGGGCAATGTATATAGCTACGATTTACATTAGGTAGAGGGGAGAAGTGAGTAATTCTTCAGGTAGATAACATTATGGTTTTTCATAGTGTTTAATAGGTTTATCTTCACTACAGATGTACAGTTCTTCATAAAGCATTACTTGTGAACACTGGTGAATGTTTTAGCCATTGTATAGTAATGCACACATGTTTGCGTACAATATTGCATATCCTTGTTATATCTTAGACTTTTCCATCTTCCCTGTATTGCTGAGAAAGTTGCTGTTCTTTCCTTCCCCCTTAAAATCTGTAACTTCGTGAAAAAACATGCATACAAGTTGTTTGATATAGCAATGCACTTAGAGCCTTTTTTGCAAATATCAAGCAAAATAGGTTTTTAAATTATTTTGTAAAAACTGAACAGTTGGAGTGTGATAATGAAGGGAACAAGCTTTGAAGTACATTGTTAGTAATCTGATGTGCCAGTAACAAACCTTCTCCTTTAGTACCCTTCTACTTTTATTGGTTTTAAACAATGCAAAGAGTGGCAGAGTTTTGTATTTCTTGTTTAAGAGATTTTTAGCCTGCCCTTTCTCCCATGCAGAACTTTAAATGGCTGACAGTGATAACTCAAAAAGAAATTTTCACCAATGTAAAAACAAACAAAACAGCTACTACCAGAAAGTACATAACCAATGTAAACGTTCAGTATTGAGCAGTGATACTTTTTGTGCATGTGTGACAGGACAGATGGAAGCCTCTAATTAAAGGATCAGAGCCGCCACACAGGTTTGTACTGTGAGAGATGGTCCTTCAAGTATGCAGACTCCAGGCTTTAAATGACTTGCCATCCAGCAAAATCTCTGTAATCAGTTTCAGTTTGTTCTCATTTCAGTTTGATCACAGCCAAGAGACACTGGTCTAGAGCAGAGATGGCTGCTTCTAGAGGCTTAAGGAAGTGCATAGTCAGGTGTCTTAAGGTTTATTGATGATACTCTACTGCAACTTTGGATAATTTCATTCTTTGGTCTTACACAGAGATGAAAAGGTATGGGTAGTAATAATGAACTTTGTGGAGCAATGCAACATTAAACCCCATACCACTGACTCAGAATCATTGGTGCGACTTTCTGTATATAGTGCACAAAGATTGATTTAAATCCTTCATGCACTTAATCCCTATGCGCTACTGCAAGTGTTGCAATAAAATTGTAATCAACTTTGTCAAAGGCAGCTGAAAGATCCTGCAGAATAATGATAATGTGCAATACTATAGACATGTTCCCTTCCAAAGCTCATCCACCAATGACAGTATACACACATATATCAGCTAAACATTTTTATGTAAAGTTGACCATGAGAGAGCCATGGGTCTACCAAACCAAATGAAGTCTGCCTCCTGTTATCAGAGTCTAATGCAAGCATCCAAGAAAGATAAAAATTCAATTGGAAATCCGAACTGAAGCCTGCACTGATAATCTTTATATAATTATAATCAATGTTAAAAGCCTCTTTTCTATGTTTTAAAAAAAAGAATTATGGAGGAAATCTGATTTTGGAGGCTTAAGCTAAGCATTAAAATTAAATCAAATTCACAAATTGGATTTATTATTTATTGTGGGGTTCTTAGTGGACTCAGGGACAAGAACACTAGGATCCAGGGGGCATCATCATGATCCTTCACTCCAGGTTCAAGCTCTCCTGTTACCAAAGCTCTGTATCACATTCAGTTTTTGAATTATGAATGGTTAAAACTCCATTAACAGCATATACTTTTAGTTTGCCTCACATTGAAAAACATTCCTTTATCACCTGTCATCTTTTCCTTGTGAAAAGTTTTGAACACTTTGCCTGATCTTATGTATACTCACACAGAATCCAGTCCTATTCTTCTTCTAAATGAATGTACTTAAGATTCATCCTTCCATTAAATGATTTTGCCTTACAGATATGATTTGGCAACATATGTACACTTCACTGCCGGAGGTTTAGATTACACACCTAAACTGTGTAACAGCTATTTTTTCCCAAATAAAATTTTACAAGGTGAAACAGTGCCAGCGGATTTAAGCACTGAATAGTTGTTTAGTGGTTCACACCTGAGGTATATAGAGAAAAGGTAAAGGATAGGAAAAAATAGCATGAGATCTCCAACAGAGGGTCTTGCAGTTAGCTAGCCAGAAAACTGAAGCCAGGACTCTTACCCTTCTAAACTTGTTCATCTTATGGTCCATGAAAGAAGGAAATGAGAAAAATACCTCAAAAATACATTAGAATGCCTTCCTTCAAGATATAGTCCCAACTGTCAGAAACCATTGCCAGTTTTTTTTAAAAAAATGCTGTTACTGTACTTCACAAATGTTCTGGCTTTGGTAAATCTTCAAGTAAAAAGGGAGCTCCAGGATGGTGTATATCCACTCAGGACTCCACTTTGTGTCCACTTGTTTGGATGGGCTTTGTGTGCCGATGTTATAATTAGGGCCATCCGGCTTGAACTTGGGAAATCATGGCAGAACATAAGGGCAAAGACTGCGTGTGATATATGTGGTGTTGAAGGCACTTAAGTTAAAACTTGTACCTTGAGTTCTGATGGTAAAGCACTATTATGAAGGAACTTTGCCTAAATACTAATCGTCTGTGATGGTTACATGCTTTCTGGTCACACTTTTGTTGAGATCAAATGAACACATGAAGCTGCCTTATGTTGAGTCAGATTATTGGTCTTTTAGGGTCAGTTTTGCATACTTTGACTGATAATGGCTCTCCAAGGTCTCAAGTGGAGGTCTTTCACAATACCTACGATCTGATATTTTTAACTGGAGATGTCAGATATATCCAATATTTAGTTAGTGGGACAAAAGTGTTATGTATCCTTAATTTCATGCATGCCTGAACTCATTTCCATTTATCTCTTTATATGTGCTTTGAAAATGCATTGTGGCAGAAAATAACAATGCTATGCAAGCACTAGAATCCAGATCTATCAAAATAAAGTCCACTCTAACCACCTATGTACTGGTGTAGTAAGATCTTACGTTTTGTTTTGAAATACATCTACACATAGTCACAAGACACGAGACCTGGGTGTAGTAGAAATCTCCATGGAATCAAGGAATATGCTAGTAAGTATATTTTCAAATTGTTTTATCTTTGACTGTACTAACTAGTACATTAACTGACAAAGCAAAGCAGTATATTTAATTTAAAATGTACTTACCAAGTGTCAACCATCTGGTAGATAAATCAACCTTCTATTTGAAAAGCAGGGGTTGACAACGTTGCCTTCATTACACTTGAGACATGGCACAAGATGCTTTCTGGAAACTCTTTGAACAAAACGCCCCACTCAACACACAGAAGGAACAAAAAAGCTGATAAAATTTTATCTACAAAACAGGCTTTGTAGGCAATAATAAACATACTTCTAACCAAGCAGCATCCAAGCATACTCATGAGAAATGCAGAATTAGCTTCTGTAAGCAGGGGATTCCCTAATGTACTGCCTGCCCCTCGCAACATAAGCTGTTGCTTGGTTTTTCATGAGTGTGCTTTTCCAGTATTATTGCTCAGACAACTGAGACCATTTGCACAACCTGTTACTTCCACATAGCCAACTCATGATATGTGAATTGATATGTAAGAAACGGAATAAAATCAATCTGTCGAGGTTTGATTCATAATGTTGTTCTGTTCTTTTGAGAATAAATGAAGAAATACTATTCAGTGTCTTTGAATGTTTTCCTCCTGCTTATCGAACTTTGGTGTGGCTGCATATTTCTGCAAGTAAGTGATAAGCTTTATGCTAGGTTTAGTTTCAGAGTTTCTGACAAATCCTCTGACTATTCAACAGGCTCCTGGGTAGAGCTGCAGATGAATGGAAATGGCAACGACAATGGCAATGCAAAAAACGGGGGGCTGGAACATGTTCCTTCTTCATCTTCCATTCATAATGGAGACATGGAAAAGATACTTCTAGATGCTCAGCATGAATCAGGGCAGAGCAGTTCGAGGGGTAGTTCTCACTGTGACAGGTAAGAATTCAAGCTCTGGGTTCTTCAAAAGGGGATTGCCTTTTCTCGCACAGAGCGCTACTAATTAAGTTCTCAGGTTAAATGTGAATAAAAGGCTATAGGTGTTTAAGTTCTGTTGGTTTCTTTAGGGCTTCAGAATTACTTGCTTTTGTTTGAATTGTTTGTGACATTTAAAAGATACCTTAGACATAGAGTGGGATCAGGCAGTCTGCTTGTGCAAGAATTTCAGATCTTTCCCTCACCTGAGCAGTCTCTTCAGACCCTGCACAAGTTGATTTCTGGCATTGTGGGAGCCACGTGGGTTGCTTGGTTGTAAAGAGAAGGAGCCAGAATCACTCCTGTCGTCATAGCTTTGCTGACAAGACAGTGATTTTTACCCCTTTCCTCTCATCAATACAAGTGACCAACCCACATGGCTGTCAGGCCAAGTGGTGGCTGTGACTCCCAAGGGGGGGGGGGGAGCTCTGCGATCTCCATGCCTTTCACTAATGGACCTGAATCTAATTATATAGGCCTAAGTAAGGGCTCTGTAAAGTTACTTAAAAATCAACTCTTGCTAATTTAATTTTCTTTTCTGTAAAAAATAGTAAATGGCTTTTTCCTAAAGCTGATTCTTTATTAGACAATAATAACAGGCAGTAAAACATAGCGGTAAACTTGTTTGCAATCTGTTTTATCATTTTGTTGCTAGACTGAAGATTGTCTAGACCAGTCCTTTATCTTGAAGCAGGTTTTTCAATATGCTAAACTATAGCCATGTCCCCAGTTGACCTCTCCCCTTTTTGGTGACATTAAGCAGAAGGAAACTAGCTAACATGTGGTTTCAGGTATTGGTTCACTGATGACAGTCAGGATAGATTAATGAAGTATTTGTGCAACATGCTTTAGTGAAAGGCAGAGGGACCGTAGTTACTACCTAGAGATAAATTCCTTCTTGATCTTGTGTGTGATGTGAATCAGAACTCATCTGTAACATAAGCATTAAGTAAGCCGTCTAAGTCTATACCATGCAGTATTTCTTCAAAATCTGTTTGTTGTACTTCTAAATCAGAATTATGGTAGTTGAATTGCTTTTTCTGCACTCTTTCTGTTAAGATCTCTAGAACAAAGCTTTAATTTTTCCAATAGTTTAAAAATAAGCATTTATATTTTATGATAATTTGGAAATAGTAGTTCTGAAACAGGTCATAGTTGGTAACAAATGTTTTATCTATGTGAAGTTTAATCTGTTCTTTGTTAATCTTAATTCGATTAAAGATTTTAAAAGATGGTTGCTTGTGTGTCACTTGTCCTAATTTTAATTCTCAGTAGGATTTATTTGGAACTTTATTGAAATGTTAATATTTTTTATTTTTATTTATTAATTAAATTAGGTTATGTAGGCTGCCCTTCCCTACAAGTAGGGCTCAGGCAGCTTACAACAAAATAGTATACAATAAATTATTTAAGTTAAAACCAACATTAAAACCACATAAAACAGATCAGTAAATAAAACTATATAGTGTAATATTGATGTGTAAACTATTTTGTATTAAATAGTTTCTAGTCTGAAATATAAAATGGACCCTCATAAATCATAAGATACTTTGTGTCAACTTTTATCACTTTTGCATCCCACAATGTGGATCTGTTTAATCGAGCTCTTTATTTATTCCCATAACTCAGGATTGGTTTTCCTAAATGTTTACTATGGAGTACTGCCAGTAAACTGTCCTCCCACTAGGGCTGTGTCTTTAGTTACCTACTTGTTCACTTTTATCCTGATAGCAAAACAAAACCACCTCTTGGACTTTTGTGTTGTCCCACTTAACAGCAGTCACTGTCTGCTTAGCAACCAGCCCACAACATTCCTGGGAATTTTTTCTGCCTATAGGTTTTGCCTATAAACCTAATTTCTATCTTTTTTGTTTGTTTCTTGCTTGTGTTTCTTAAGGTACACATGGATTTGGGGGGAAGTGGTTTCATCTTGATTACTATATTTCATCTCCCAAAACAGGGAGAATTCAATTCTAAAGTATTTCTTTTTACAATATCTTATATTCTAATAGTGAAGTTGGCCAAATTTTGGATGACTAGAGCTGTGAATGGCCAATACAGAACTTTCTCCGAACCTTAAAAGGGAGCCAGGTTTGCAGAAAAATCTGAAATCTAAAAAATTAATCATGCAGTTTAAAAAATTGAAAAATGATAAAAGAGCACCCGTAGCTTTAAAAACAGATTCCCTCAGTGGCTGTTGCTAGGCAACCACAGTATTCCAGGTTGGATGTTTGTGAGTAAAAAAGCAGGGGAGGGGTAGGGCCCTTTCCAGGCCTGTTTTGACCTTTGAGAGAGGATTCATTGGGGCCAGGCCTGCTAGGATTTCCAGATCCAAGTTGGGAAGTTCCTGGAGATTTTGTGGAAAAGTCTAAGGAGTGTAGGATTTGGGGAGGGTAGAGGCCTCAGCATGGTATAATGCCATAGAGTCCTTCCTCCAAAGCAGCCATTTTTTCTCCAGAGGGACAGATCTCTGTGGTGTGTTCAGTTGTAATTTTGGGGGAATCTCCAGGTACCAGCCAGAGATTGGCAACTCTAGGCTTGGAAGCACCCTCTTGGTGACTTAGCACCACCTAGCTTGCATAACTCACCTAGGCCTGACTGCTTGCTACTATTCAACAGCAGCCACCCTCTGAAAGCCAGTGTGGTATAGCAGTTAGAGCTTCAGAGTAGGGTAAGTGGCTTTGGTCCCTTCTGTGGAGAAAGGTGGTGTAAAATGAAGTAAAAAATATAGCTGAAGATGGGAGGCAGATAAAAGGTAAGTTGCTGAAAGACTGAGAGAGGGAGAATGAGGCAGGGAAAGGGAAGAGATATGGGGGTCACGGGGGGAGGGAGAGAGGATATAGTGTGGGGAAGGGGATAGAGGGGACTACGGGAGATTTCAGGAAAGGGAAAAGAGGAAATAGCAGGGGAGGGGGAAATGAGTCCTGCAAGTCTTTACAGGTTCCCACGTGTATAGCAAAGTTGGCCAAATGTGAGGATACTTAAATCTAGTGATTGGAGCTGTGAACAGACGAAGCAGATCTTTCTACAAACCTGACAAATGCCCCAGGTTTGCAGAAAAATCTGAAATCTAAAAGACAATACACTGGGGCAGAGGGTTAAAACCCCCAAAAGATAAAAGGAACACCTGTAGCTTTTTAAAAAATGGAAGCCTTCAGTGGCTGTGCTAGGCAACCACAGTATTCTAGACTTGATTTAAAAGGCAAGAGGAGGGGGCAGGTTCATTTCCAGGGTTGTTCTGGCTTTCAGGGGAGGACTTATCAAGTCCAAGTCTGGTAGCAACCAGTTGGGTGACTTGATACCACCTTGACTGCATGACACATTTAGGCCTGGCTGCTTGCTGCTGTTCATTAGCAGCCACCTTCTAAAAGCCAGTGTGGCGCAAAGGTTAGAGCTTCTGAGTAGGGTCTGGGAGACCCAGGTTAAATCGCTAGTCTGTCATGGAAGCCCACTAGTTGATGATGTGCCCATCACATGCTTTCAGCCTCACCTACCTCACAAGGAGAATAAAAAAAGAGGAGAGGGGAATGATGTAAGCTGCTTTGGTCCCCACTGTGGAGAAAGGCAGGGTATGAATGAAGTAAATAAATGTAGCTGAAGATGGGAGGCAGATAAAAGACTGGTTGGTGAATGTCTGAGAAGGAGAGAATGGGACAGGTAAAGGGAAGAGGACATAGGGGTTGCCAGATGAAGGTAAGGGGGAAATAATGTGAGGAGGGGGATGCAGGGGAAAGTGATGTGCCCCCACAGAAGTCCTTGAGGGTCCCCTACCATGCAAGTGGGCCTGGCCCAATGGCTTGGTACCACACAATTGTGCCATAGTTTTCCTGGGTAGTGGCTGCTGTGGTGGGAGCTGGACAGAGGGACAGATACAGGTAGGCTTGCTGTTTGGTGGGAAGGAAACAGGAAAAGGGGAGAGGGAAGGGAAAGGGAAAATAGTGGGGAGGAGGAAATGAGATGCCCCATGCAAGTCCTTGCAGGTTCCCACTTGTTTTTATATAAAATATAATATGCACATTGTAACCTACTGGTGATAATGTTTTATCTAATCAAGCTTCTTGGCAATAATCATTATCTTAATTACTTTTCTTCTAGCCCTTCTCCTCAAGAAGATGGGCAGATAATGTTTGATGTGGAAATGCATACAAGTAAAGACAATAGTTCTCAGGTATGTTATTTTTATTAATTTAAAACAGTAGTGTTTCAGGTAAAGTGTTCTACATATGGGGGTGATGGAATGCAAAAAAAATTGAACTATACTTTCTGTAAGGAGCTAAAATAAACAGTAAGTTTGCCTGCCTTAAGTCCTGCTAGCTGGGTTTCCCCATTGGAAACAATGGAGGTAATGGGGGTGACCTGTTTGGGTGCCCATAGAATTGGGCCCACTGGTCCACTTGCTTTGGGACATGGGGGTTTATGTGGGGAGAGGCTCCCGAAGCTACCCTGAAAATATGTTGCCTCTCCCTCAAAATCCCTCCCTCCCAGAGCCACTAACGGCACTGTGGGGGGAAAAGTAATTTTTGTTCCCACCATAGAGAACAATGGAATGTATGGGGGCAACCTGTTTGAGGGCCCGTAGAATTGGACCCCCTGGTCCAATGTTCTTGAATCTTGGTGGGTGTCTTGGGGAGAGGCTCCAGCAGCTACCCTGTGAGTTTGGAGCCTCTCCCTCAAACCCCCTCCCTTCCAGCCCCCAGAATATACCCTATGTTTTCACCATTGACTTCAATGCCCATAGGATATAATGGGACTGAAATTGACATTTGGCTGGCCCAAAGACTCCCGAATTGGCTCCTACTGACGAAACTGACATGCAGGAGTCTTACTGCCGGACAAAATTGATTGTGTGTGATTTGGCCAAATCCAAATCCACTGAATTTTTTTTTCCACACCCCTAATCAGTAGTATTAAGTAGAGTAAGTGGTTAAGCAAAACGTTCAACATTAAAGCAAGTTACTGTTTTTAGCAGTAACCTATCTTTTGCTCAGATTGCAACTTTAGTCTCTTCAGAGCTCTGTAACAAATAGGATAATAACCTTAGTTCCATTTGTGCAAGCTTGAGTGATATCTTCTATATATGATCAAAGCTGGCACTTCCCAGTTTAGTTGAATGTACTTAATTTTTCTGACTTGGTCCCTTCTCTGAATGGCTGTACATCAGCTAGTGAAAAATGTTGCTGCATTTAAATAGCCCGAACTCAGGTCAGTGGGGGCTGCTTTCTGTTGCTTGCTGCCATTGCTGTGAGGATGAATTGTGTATTTGGGCCTTTTCACAATTAAGGTATCCAAGCTCATCTTTCAAACTGGAGTTGGGTTTGGAATATCATAGACTGCTTTATTGAAGATGAATAAGATTGCAGCGTGGGGGGAATCTTGAGAAATTTTGCTAATTTGTATATATACATGTGTCCTTTCTATATTTGTTAACCTTATTACATGAAGCCATATAATAGTTACAGTATAGTAAGATGGTAAAGCTGTAGTTATACTGTCTTCATTGGCTTTCAACCTGTTACCAGATTCAGTAGAAGTTACTGGTTTTTACCTTTAAAGCCCTACATGGCTTAGACCTAGAGTACCAGAAGGACCTCCTCTATCCCTTTCCACCCATCCAAGACTTGAGAGCCTATGCTATGAGGCCTTTCTTTGGGAATCAGCTTTAAATTCCAGGCCACAGGAGTGTTTGCTGAGGTCCAGAAAAATACTCATTACAATTGATACACGCTATTTTTTCAACACCAAAGTACTCCCAAAATAGCTAACAGAACCCATGGGCTCTAAAACCATAATTAGTCTAAAAAGAACAAATACAAAATGTTCAATATGCTGGCAACAGGGTAAAACCAAATATCTGAAACTGAAATATATTTGTTCAAGCTAATAATACAAATTTGCTTTAAAGTTAGTGTGATGCTTTTAAAGAAATGTACTTTTACTTAGATGGATTTTTTGTGGGGGCAATTTTTAGATGGTTACACAAGCTCAATTTGATTAAAGTTTTCCATTTCAAGCTATGCTCATGCCTGTTTATAAATATTTGGGTGTGCTTAAGTGATGCTTCACTTAATCCTTGACATTTAGATATTGGTTAACTTCAGCAAGCCTTGTGAATGCACTTTTATCCCTTCCAAATAGATGATAAAAATCACTGATGCAAGTGAAGTATATTCATTTTGATGCCCTTTCCTACACTTGACTTTTACACAATAACAGAAGACTGTCAGAACTGCTGTCATGCTTTGTGTATCTGTCTGTTAACAAAACCAAAAGGAGGAATAGAGCAAACATTGTGAATTGTGTCCCATGTATATTTTCAGTCTGAAGAGGAAGCAGTAGAAGGAGAAAAGGAGGTGGAAGTTTTAAAGAAAAGTGCTGACTGGGTATCCGATTGGTCAAGTCGACCTGAAAACATTCCTCCCAAGTGAGTTGAAACCTAATAGTCCTTCTCTTATAAGGCGTTATATTAGAACATTAAACATAGTTCTCAGAAAGGATTGTTGTAGAAAGTGCTTCTAAGACATGAGTTTTCTTATTAAGGAATAAGAAATTCCTTAATAATTCCTTCTAAATAAGATCAGTTTGTCATAATTGTCTCACAGTCTGAGTTACATTGTGAAGCAGTTCCTCATAGGATTGGAGCAGAACCCACCCTTCCTCTCTGTGCTGCTGGCAGGAGAGCCACTGCTATGCCTGGAACACTCCACTGTAGCAAGGCAATTTCCCCTCAGCCCACTTCTCCAACTACAGTACTCCTAGTAAATGAAGCTTCACCCAGGGATAGGATCCAGAGAGAGCCTTGCTTGAGTTTCTCTCTTTGTTTTGAAAAAGAAGTGTTTTCCTTTCTGTCCTGTTTTATCAGCTACAACTCCCTTGATGTGCAAACAAATAACCAGATAATCTGTCACGCTGTACAAATCACACTTGAGACTGCTGTCTTCTTATACAGTTCTACTTACAACCATAAATGATACACATAACAAATGGTTTTGCCACCATACATAAATGACATCTGCACCAGTTGAATAGTGACCTAATACTCCTTGAAAGTATAAGACTTCAGAATGATGCAGTCATCGGCTCATGGTTCAGAGAACAGTTTTCAAAGAAAACAGGCAGTAGACGGCATGGGCTCAAGACTAGCTGTAGCGTGAACCAATGGAGCGGAGACGACACGCCTAAGTTGCTTTGCTGTTTCTTAGGGCTTCATCAAGCCGTTTTTCTTAGTGGTGGAGCTCAACCCAGCTCTGGCAAGATTCAAAATGACATGAAGTCTACAAGTATGTTCCAAATAGCTACGAATCAGGCTCTAGAAGCTCCCTTGATGTCTGAATGGTCTTTCAATAATGCTTTGTTTGCTTCCTAACCCTTAGATTTTGGGGTGATTTGAATTACCTGAATTCAGTACCTTTTGAGTTGCCGTCCATTTTGTTTCCTTTAGGGAGTTTCACTTCAGACATCCTAAACGAGCAGTATCTTTAAGTATGAGGAAGAGTGGAGCTATGAAGAAAGGTGGCATTTTCTCAGCTGAGTTTCTAAAGGTTTTCATTCCATCTCTGTTCATATCTCATGTTTTGGCTTTGGGACTAGGGTAAGTTCCAGTACAAATATCCCTAGTTGTGTAAGTGGAGATATTTTCAGCAGCTCTTACATATGGCTTTTAACCATTCCATGAGGAATCCAGTCTGCTATGTTGGAGGTTTGATGGAAGAATGTCATCTTGCAAGGCAGTACTGTGATTTCACAGTCTGCAATTTCACGAGTGATCACCTGCAATGATGATACTACCCTGAATGCCTGAAGGAAGATTGAGATAAAAATGATAAAATTAGTGAAGTACTATTAAATCAAACACAGAATAAAGGGGGGGAAATTATTGCAGATATGTTTTCAGAATATGCTGTCGTACTTCAGTATTATGCATCCCTTAATTAAAACAGTGTGTTTCTTTTCTGTTCTGTAACAATAACCAAAGAGCATTTTGAGATAGAACTTCGGTAATCTACTGTTCCATTAGTCTTGAGTAGCTGATATTATGCTGATAGTAGTGTATGGAAGTGAACTGCTCGAAGAATGTAAATTTAGTGTGTAATTGCTGAATTTACCTTACCAGAGAACATGAGTTGCCTTGGTGCAAAGATTTGGGGGGTGGGGTGGGAGGAGAAGACAAAGCATTAGAGAAGAAAATAATTTTTATCAGCAGATCAGTGCATTCAGTAAACATAATCTCAAATATTCCATTGCTGGTAATAGGGCAACTTGTGCACAGAATCCTGTGACCAGTTGACTATCACAGCAAGTTTGGATATAATTTGGCTCCTTTTGAGTTGCTTTGAAAATCGATGGTGCAATTGTACATTTTTGTCTTCCTAATAAAATTCTCAGTCTGATTCCCTTAAATATATATAGTGAATGGTGCTAACAAGGGTTTTGCAGACTATCAGTCCTGAGAAACCACAGAATGCAGAAGTTAATGAGTCTTGGTTCAGACAGTGTCATACTATAGTTCTCTGCTATGCAAGTGAGCTATGGCTAGCTTGCATAATCTCCCACACTATTGCACACAACAGTCGTAATTAGATGTGCAGCATATCACAGTTTACAAACTATGGTTTGCACTTGCCCAGTGTACCAGTACTTAAAATTAAGAACTATCTGTGTTAGAAATGCTGGTTTGTGGGGCAAGCATGAACCATAGTTTGGTGGAATGACTGTAATGGTAAACTGTGGTTTGCTGCAAATGACTAATTGTATTGCAGTGTGTGAGGGGAGAATGGATTGCGTAAGTGAGCGCTGGGCTTGTTCTCCTAATGCCAAGTCATTGTTTGGCATTGTGTCTAAACCACACCCAAAGATGTTATTTCCCATTGTCTACTGTGTGTTAGAGATGGGTTGTGTGTAGTTATACTACATTTACTAATGGATATGGTTGCTGCTTGAAAAAGTAAACTAAAGACAAAAAGTTCTTGTAAACAAGGGAGCATTTCCAAGTTGCCAACATGTTTTGTGTTTCTTTCCAGCATCTACATTGGGAAACGACTGACTGCACCTTCAGCCAGCACATATTGAAAGAAGCAGTGCACAAGCCCTGGAAATCCTTGTGGTGTGTGAAGGTGTTGATGTCACACTAGTACATTTGAACTTGACAATTTTGAGCATGACCCTTCCCAGCCTCCACCTTGTCTTTACATATCCAGGTTCCAGTAACTCTTGGAATTCAGTATTGTATTGGAACTCTGTGGGGGTATTTCACTAGTTTCCCCTCTCCCTTTTCCCAGCCCGTCCCCACACCCTGCAAGACACATCAGAATTGCCTAACAGAGTTTACAATTGCCTATACGTTGCAAGGGCTTCTTTCAGTGCAAAATGCCACCAGCAAATTATAATTTTATCAGTGAAGCTGTTGCCTCCTCTCTACTGCAGCAAGAACTAATCTGCACAGTGTATGATATGAATGAACTGTTTATAACAATCTCCAGTCTCTTTAAAAGAAACTGAGAATTAACTGAAGTTGGTTGTAAAACAAAGTCATTGGCAGTTTAAAAAAAATGTAGCTTATTCTACAACTTTTGGCTAAATGTTTTCAGTCTTCAGGAGGCAAAAAACCGACAAAAAATCAAAGGATAAACATGGATTCATCAGCAACTTTTAATACTGAATAATTGTCACTATCTTGTCTTTTCTATGAAGAAGTGAGTTTATTTCTGGTTCAAAAAAACCCTTTCCAACATCTAGACATACTTTTTAAAAAGGATCACATTCTTTGCATGTGAAGAACTTTTTTAGTATTCCTTAGAATTTTATTTAATGAATGTTTTCCTTTTAAAAGTAGTTTGACTTGAAGTATTTCTTGAAGTATTTAGGCTCCATGTACAAGGAGATTCTGCTTACTATGGAACCACTTACAATTTATGAAGAGATGGTTCTTTCATCAGCTACTGGGGGCATCATTCCTGGAAATAGTCTTATAGTTGTGTAAAACAATTGTACAAAGCTCTGAAATGTCTTCTGTGGTTGAGATTCATTATTACCATTTTTCATGGTTTACCATTGAATCTCCCTTGGAGATCACCTGAAATCTTAAGGATCTTAGTGACATCTTGTATAGCTAGATAGACATTTCACTAATGGGAACACTCAATCTTGCCCCACCCTTCAGAGAGTTTGTTTTCCAAAATGTGAAGCTTTAGTTCCAAATTGTTTCAAAGCAACTGGATGAGGGTCCCTAAGTAGATTTGTACTGGATTTTGAAACATGTAGTGTGACTCTGAAGGATTAGAATTCTGTTTTATATATAAATAATAATAGACTTTAATACTACATATTTAGAGAACCATTATTAAAATGCCATTGAACTAGAATGCATTAGACTTGCAACAAAAAGTTGGCAGTTTTGTGGAAACAGGCAACTAGTTTTTCTGTTTTCATCAGATTTCTGAAAGCTGAAGGGGCATGGCAGTGTAAGCATCGTGGCTAATGCCTAGTTGAAATAGGTAAAGTTTGTGAAGCAGACGTGATAAACAGGAAATCCATTTCTGAAGTGTATGTGTGTGTTTAATCTTTGATTATGGCAACACTTTTAAAGACATCTTTTAGCTAAGTCTGGCAACATCTGGGGTTTCCCCCTTCTGTTTGGCATAGTAGCACTTGTATTGCTTGCAGCTATGTATTTATTTCTAGTGTGGTTATTGGAATGGTTTTGAGGTGATTAAAACAGTAAGGATTTTTTAAAAAGAAAATCAAACTTTAGCAAACCCAGGTGAAGCTGAAAGTCTTGATTTCTTATTCAACACTGATTATTGTACTTCCTTTTGCAAAAAAAATTGGAATGTGGAAATGTATATGAAAGTGGGAACATGATTGTTTTAAAAAATAAAGCTTCACGCCTTTCCAGATTACATGACTGACCTGCAAAATGCTCTGTGATACACTAATTTATTTACATGCATACAACTACACACCTTTGCTAATATTTCAGATAGCAGCAAGATTATAATTGCCGGTGGGGAAAAACTATTGGCCTTTGAATACCTTATCTCTGTCAAGCTTGTCTCCATGAAATCATACAAAGCAGTATTTCTTGAGAAATGACCATAAGCTTGGAATGAAAGACCATGACTTTTTGTAATACTATGAAATGGACCAGATTGTTACATAAATTTGAGCAGGGGCATCTACTATAAAGCTGTGTTAAGATAAACCTTGTTAAATAGCTTTATACCTGTTTACAGTTTGGGGAATGCAGGCCTTGTTTCCTAATGTTGAATGGGGGGAAAACTGGCTTGAAATATTTGTACATAGGGTCAAGCAATGCATAAACTCGCACATTAAAGAAAGCAGCAGACTGAACTGCAGGAAAAAATCCCTTATTTACTGCTTAAAAAAGAAAACTGAAAGACACTGGACATCACTTTTTTTCAAAGACACATTGCTGAAATTATTGGACTTAACTGAGCCAAAGTGATATATGCATTCTTCATATTTAGGTAGCACTTTGTAACATATACAGTTTACAGTACATGTATAAGTTGTAGCTATAAACATTTTGTGCCATTAAAGCTGTCACAAAAACTGTTTCTGCTGTTTGCTTCTTGCCACTTACTTTACAGAAGATGTACAGAAGGGCCCCTTCACATTTTAATTTTTTTGATGTGTCTGAAAATGTACAATGTTTATCTGAGAAATACGTGATTTGGCCATGGATATACCATATAGATATGCTTCAGAGAACAACCTTCTTGTTGAGTGTAGCCTTAATGCTAAACCTGGGCTTGCTGCTGCATAATGTATAAAACCCTGGTGTTCTGAGTTAAAGGAATCTGGACCCAGGTTGAATTAAGAGACATTAAAATTAAATATTTTGTAAATGTAGATTGAGTTTCACTTGATACAATTGTAAAGACATAATGTTCTTAAAAATTTAGTCTCAAATAGTTTTGAGAAGACTGCATCTAGAGTGCCAACATCTGCATAGGCATTTTAAAGTAGGCTGCTTTATCAGTTTGGAGTTCAAAATGTTCATAAATATTTTGAGTTTCATGCTGACAATATCAAGGTGAAAGATTTCTGTGTGCAAAGAAAACAATACTGTTGTGTCAGTATCCTCCCAAGTCACATGACTGTGTTAAGCTCTGGGAGATATATGAAACCGCTTTATACAGAGTTAAGTCAAGCAAGCTTGGTGTTGTCTGCTCTTGTGAGCTGCAGTTCTTCAGCATTTTAGATCTGCTACCTGAGATTTTTAACTGGAGATGCTGGGAATTAAACTTGAAATAGTCTGTATACAAAGCCATATGGTGTAGTGGTTAAAGAGTTGGACCAGAATCTGGGAGACCCAGGTTCATTCCCTGCTCTGTCATGAAATTCACTGTTGGATCTTGAGCTAGTTAATATCAGCCTAACCGACTTCACAGGGTGCCTCTCAGGATAAATTGGAAGAGGGGGTAGAACCCTGGGCTCCTTGGATTAATGGAATCAAAACATTCTACAGAAACCAGTTGCTCAGCTATTGAGCCACACAGTCTCCCCATCTCTATTGTGCAGTTGTGTTTGGTTTATTATGATATAATGATAACACTAAATTTTATATCTCTCGAGTGGTTAATATGGCAGATGACCTGGTCCTTTTGAGAGGAAATAACAAATGGAGCAAAGTGAGGCAGATGAGGGAATTTCATGTATGCTGATCACTTGAGGGTTTCTCTGCATCAATACGTTGGTTTTTTTCTTCATCTCATTCTGGAAGGTACCCAGGAGAGAGGCTTGCTCTTTATGGTTGTGTCTCTAAAAATGGAAGTGGTTGTTGCAAGGAAATTCTTGGTGGTAATGAGCAGCCAATTTCATAAAGCACCAAATAGACACTAGGATCATTTAATTTTTTAATACGAACCACAGGTTCAGCTGATGAAGAATTGATGAAAGACACTGAAAGGCCAAGCTGTGAAGAGTTGTTTTCTTGTGTGTCCACAAGGTTGAATCTGCTAAGGTTAGGTTGTAAAAACAAAAAACGGAGAAGCTGTTCTCTGGGCTGTGATTCAGACTTCCATTGGGCTTTTAAGGGCATGGGAGGGGGGAGAAGGAGACCACCTTTTGAGAAGCAGGCCAAGGCTTCCTTTGCACAGACAAAGGAGGTGGTGATTCAGATTCTTTGGATCCTCAGTTTACATTCTAAGGAGGCCAAAGGCTGTGTTCACAAATGACAATGTCAACATGGCCTTCAGTTAAAAAAAATGCACTCCTGAAGAGATACTTAATGCTCTTCACAGCCACTTAGAAAAGGCTGGGTGTGTGAATTGGAAGGAAAATGTGCTTTTACACAACAGTCTGTAAATGTAAGGTCTGCAAGATTTTCTGCAACACTTGTATCTTTTACCCATTGCAGTGTAGCAAGGAAGTATCCCTTTCCCCCAGTCTGAGCAGGCATATAGTAAGTTAACCTGAATCTAGTCTTGTTAACTGCACCACATTTTCCCAGTAGTGGAAGATCTGAAGACTGCAACATTATGAGCAAGCTAGAGGAATAAATCAATTTGAAAATGTAATTGGTGACAGTTAAGGTTCACATATCAGCACAAATGCAGGTATATTAAAACTACATTCAAATGCTGCCGTTTACCTGTTTATAATAAAAAGTTATTCAATGCTGCTGGGGTTCAGAAATTTGCATGACTTTTCAGTATAATCAAAGGCCGTGTATCCAACTGAGAAAGCCGTGGATATTGTAAAAGGGACAAATGATCACAGTGTACATAGCCACTCTTGGGTGATTATGTGAATTGACCTCAAGCTTCTGTAATCTGCAGAATAGCCTCCCTAAATGCTCATATTCATCTGCATTTTGAAAAATGCAATTTATATGGGGGGAGAGAGTGTCTGAATCCCATTGTTCTACTAAGTGAGGGATTTTCTGTTGGAGACAACTTCCTTTAGTGGAAGTTTACTCAAAAGGGTATCATCAAACCCAGTATTTCTTCTGAGTTTTGAGTATAGCCCAAGACCCATTACGTTGTCAATCACTGTTAGAGGGCAGGGCAAGCAGATCAAAAAGCTTAAATGTTTCTAAGAAGTCACTTTTCCCTCCCCGGTGTTGTTTGTGGTTGTCTTAGAGGCTACTGAGGTAGAGCCATCTTGGCACTTCTAGTCTGGCTCATTATGGCACAGTGGAACCTTTTCACAAAATGTCCAATAGCCATTCTTTGTTTAGGTGTGAGACAATGCTGGTACTTGCCAAAATGTGTGAGAATTTTGCCAAACAGGGTCCAAATGCCTACAACCTCTTTCTTTGCTGTTGGAGCCCAAAGGCTTACTTGGTGCCAAAGTTTTAGTTCATTGGGTACCAGGGGAAGCTGTTTCTGGTTTCATAAAACTTTGTCTACTTGGTTTTCATATTAAGATTGGGCCTTACAGTGATATCTGACAGTTATCTTCATGATCACTGATGGAGAAACATGACATCTGAGAAAGTCTCCCATCAGAAGAACAAAAACCTTTATTTGGGAAGGGAATCTTTCACCATTAAAGGAAGATCTACCAGCTAGGAGATGTAAAATTTTATTCATTATTGTTGCCTCTTGGTGCTTGATCACTAGACAAGTTTTGGGGTTTAATGCTACTCTATAGTTTTACTATTGCAAGATTTAGTGGTTTATTTGCAAGTTTTACTGGTTTGTTAAATATTGAATGCATTTATATTCCATGCTTCTTCCAAGTTCAGAGTGTTCATAAGAATGTCCCA